GTCGTAAATCGTGCTTCATGTGGTTTAGTAAACGCACATAAATGTACAATTAGATTGAGGAGAAGTTTCGAACGAGCAGTAGCTGCAAAATGCAATCGTTCGTGTGTGTCATGAAAGTTAGTAGAATTCAATTAATGTAGTAATCAAATGGACATTATTGTAATCGTAGTTACAATATGGCGTACTGAAACGAGGAATTAATGCGCAACAAAAGTATAATTTTTAATTCGTAATGCTTCACGTTATATATGTATATTTTTAAAAATATTTCTTAAAGCATTTTTTTATTGATTTTCATGGTTTCTATAACTGTCACAATATATAAATGCATATATGTATATTTCGATCAATCGATAGTGTACAAAACATTTTATGTTATTATTGATTGATATGCGTATATATGTATTTATATTATTCACGACACAGTTTTTTGAAAAATGTGAATATACAAGAATAAAACGAAACTTTTAACAAATTCGACTATTTTATAATTCTAATTCTTGTCGTAGTTATAATAATAATACATTATTATTACGAAACTAGTACGGTCATTATTTTCAAACTTTCCTACCAGATCCTGGCATGTTTACACTGCTCCCTGGTATCCGTTCCATCGGAGCAACGATACTTTAATCCTCTAGTAAGCTTTCGTTTCGAGGAACCTTAAACCTTGGATTAGCTGAACGAATTAAGTCGAACTATCTCTACGCGTACGTTCGATTTGGGTTAATCTTTCATTGCGAAATATTTTGCAACGCCATTGTAACAGCAAAATAAAAGTTATCAGATTAGTAATTGTTTTGTTTAAAATAAAATACAAAGAATATTTAACGCGTTGAATGTGATAAAACCAGTTATCATTTCTATTACGTTGAAAATCAGTTTGCAGTCGAAGTGGGTTGGACAATACAATTACACGTTATTGTTTATAATGTAGCTGTATTGATTCTCTTTAAATGAGATGTGCGGCGAAATAATACTTGAATGGAGTGAGAATCATATGGTAGAACGATTGACTCGCCAAAAGTAGAAACGGACGTGCCATTCATGTCAAGCCGCGAATTTACAAGTTGTTTTCCAGCTTTTGTCCTCTCTACCTCTCGATTCGATACACGATATACGATCTGCTGGATAAATGGACCTTTTAAATAATGTGTTCCCCGCGGAAGTCGCGCTCGTAAGGTTGCAACTGAATAAACATTCGAATTCGCCGTCCTACTTCCGCCATGTTCATCCGTTACTAGAACAACAATTTACTTTCGCAGACGTGAGTTATTCTACAGCTTGTCGCCATAAAAGTGTTGAGCACGATGTTCTTGCAGTAAAAGGCTAGGATAAGAGCAAAACCGAATGGAAAATCTGGGAAAAATCATTCCATTAAAAGAATTATCTCAAGTACTGCTGCTATATAAGCATTAACGCTAACTAAGAAATAAATATTTATTACTGAACATTTTTAATAAAACACGCAAAATAATAATAAATAATAATTTTTTTTTCTTTATACAATAAGATACATGTAAGTTATGATTTTTTTAAAGAATTTTTTTCTACAAAATAATCTTAAATAATTTTTATTTTAAGCAATAAAAAATCAAGTAATTATTAATATATAGTAAAACGATTAATTTATTAAACATATATTTATCTATATATTTTTATTGTCTTTTTGTGTATTATTTACGATTAAACGAAATTTTAACAATTACGTTGATATAGTGCATATTTTTTACATACGTATTATAATGAGATCAGATTATATCGTGAAATATCAGATATACATTATATGTGATGTGCGCGTATAGCAGTATGTACGTAATTAATTTATATTGTAATACGATGCAGCATATACTAGTATACTTTTTCACATTAATTTAATTTTTTATGATACATAAACACTAATAGGTCTTTTATTAATTTTTAGTGCTTTTAATGATATTAATAATGCTTTAATTTATATGCGTATTTGTCACTCATATCTAATGAAACTCAATAATAATACGCAAATGTCATTAAGTTTGATTAATCCGCGATATTCCGGCGTTTAATTTCCGTGCGAGCTCTCATAATAATTATAGAAGATAAAATCAGATCAGAATACGGTATTGTTCGAGCAATTAACCTAGTTTCGGTAATAAGAGCATGTATCGTGTAGAATTTACTTTATATTTTTTATACCTTTATTTATATGCACAACTGTGAATGGACGTTGATTAAGTGGATTAGCATAGCAAGTAGCTACGGAAATAGTATTTCGTATGATGTTTCTAATTCCCAGGAAAATACGACAAAACTGCAGCAAGCTTTTACGGTTTATTACAATTTTAGCGTGAAAGAAAGAAGAAAAAATTACTTTATAACAAAAACTATGGAAATATTAAAAAAATGTTTCTTCAATATTTGTATATTTCATGCAAAAATGTGTTTTTTTTAGCGAAGGGTTTTTTATCGAAGAGTTAAATAACAAAACAGTGACATTAAATAAATAATATAAAAAGGTTTTCAAAATTTTTTCAAATTTTTTTAACATTATTCACAATTTTTTTCAAAATTCTTTCTCTGTTTTTGTAAATATGTCTTGGAAAAAGTCAGCATTTCAATAAACGCAAGTAGAAAAAAGATTCAAAGTGGTTCAACGTGCAAGAACTAAAAAAAGCGATAGATATATTACGAGGAACTTATTTAATTAAATCAAATCAGATCACGATACGAAACTTTACGCATTCTTTGCCTGTGAATTCTGCGTGCGCATTCTTCACCTTCGAGATCAAGGAGCATGTCGAATTGTTCGGTCATTCCAATCACGTAGCCGAGTTACAGTGGTCTCCCGAAGATTCCAAGTAGCTGCTAGTGCAGTTCAGCGCTTTACAGTTTGCATGCTTGCAGTCGTTGATTTACGTACGTGCGCGAGGAAGGCCACAGAATGTAATAGCGGGCCCAGGTTTGTTATTGCCGGTACAATCGTTTGTATGCATTACTCTTTGCGCCTGGCCTTATGCATATTATCTAGACGACGAAGGCGGTCGTTATCAAGATGATGTACCGACCAGAAACGCCGTGCTTCTCACCATTGCCGTGTCCATCTTGTCGGTTGTTGCGAATCTTGTTGGATGAAGAAAATCCACCAATTATACAACATCATGTATTATACAATAATATTTCTGTTGACGTGTAATTGCATTCTGTAGTGAAACTATGGCAATTTATATGAAAAAGTATTTCTTATTAATTAATTTATATTGGAGTGTGATATGAAAAAACTATTTAATAAATATTGTGTGTATATATAAATATTCAAAAGCAACTACCCAACTTTTTTAACAATAACAATATTACTCTAACTACACGTTAAATTTTGCAATTTTTTAATTAAAGCGTTTTGAATTAAAAAGTTATAATTACTGTTTTATATTTTTTTTATTTGAACAAATATGAAATTTAATCTTCTTTCGAAATAGAGCAGTTATTGAGAATATATGAGTGACGAATAATTATAATAAATGGTTGAAATATTACAGGTTTATAACTGGCTTCGTAGAGATATTAGGTCTTTAGTGAAATTTTCACTAGAGAATTTAATATTTTGCGAGAAAGCGCAACAGTGCCCGCAGTGCCATTGCATATTCGAATAATTGAAGTGATTCCGATCTTCTTTGGTTCTACAAATTTACTCAACAAAATTGGAAAGCATATTCTGCGCTTCACCGTCGCGTTACCACGAATGCCTGGTCGCAGGAGAAGCTACCAATACCGGGTCAGACAGATGTTCCTTCGTCGTCGCGTGAATTATCGACTCCGCTCCTCCGTGCGAAATTCCGTCCGCCGGCGTTAGGAAATATTGAACAATTTGCATATTCTGTATCTTAGACGTGACTACTCGCATTACTAACAAGCTTTTTCTATCTGTTTTATTTTTCATGTTTCTCCTTGGGACATCGATTGACTACGCCCATTCATGATTGCTGGTATTGGTGGTGGTGATGACGTCTGTCTCTCTCTCTCTCTCTCTAATTATGGTCATGGTAACTGTGGTGACACATTGGTGATGCTGACACATATTTACTTATTATCTTAATTTTCTTCTACTTATTAATTTATTTTGGAAATAATGCATTTATGCTTAATATCTGTAACATTGTCAACGATTACTAATTATTGCCTTATTAACTATTTATATATTTTAATGCTTGAATTGCTAAAATTAACAACGTTTAAACCTCTTTTATTCTAATTGTGCCGTGAATTATATGCTACGGATATTTTACATTTTCTTACGTATTATCTCACGCACGGGCTTTTACCATGCACTGTTACAATCACTTCTCGCGTTCTCTATTTCCGCGGGAACTTTTACGACTATACCTATCCTTTATTGGCCGCCACTCGTGAAATTATCGCGCGAATCTGCATTTACACGCTGGAACGTCTGCGGTTCTGTCCGCAAACTCCATCGTCACGAACGATCTCCGCGTTAAATTCCGCAAATGTCGGCTGCTTCCCGCTCACAATGTTAAACCGCGTATCGTGTGTAAACGAAACGACGCTGCTTTCGCGGGTGAATTTGCGCCATTGATACATCCATGCCCGCTCTGCCCGAACCAATCCCGGCTGATCCACTCGTTAATTACTCTCAATCCCCTTAAATTGATCACTGTTGCGGCGGCGGTGCCATTACGGTTCATCGATCGATCTTCGATACTCGACCTCTCGCGCTTTTCGCGCACCTTTTCTTTTGTGCTCTTCCATAATTTACATACGGCTGTAACATGATCCTGCAATTTCTTTTATCGCTTCTTTTTGTGTAAATTTTTTTTTAATTTTGTATCTTATTATTTATCCAATATGATTTTTAATAACTGCGACGATCTTTTTAATAATTGCATTTACGCTATTACTCATCGATTCATTTAATTTTTCTTTACGTCACTCCGTGTCATGCGGCTTTCTCTTTTTTATTTTTTTATTTTTTTTTTATTTTAACTGGACAGCCTTGTTGTCAGGCACCCTGAAGACCTATCAGCGTGCGGCCTGCGATGAGGAAACGATGACGTTGAAATGCCCGCCTGGCACGACCATCTCTGTCGAACATGCTCAATATGGAAGAGCGGGAATGCATGGCATTACCAAATGCAACTCGTCCGTTCCTCCGATGATCGCGGAGGACAGGCCGACGACGAATCACACGAATCACACATGCATCTGGCCGCAATCACTGCAGGTATGTGCCAATGAAATTCTCCCATTCCACATAGGTAGATGCCGATCGGTATAGGCGGTTTTCAAGTTTATTGAAAGTAACATCTGTGTCAATGTGTTAATCGTTTTGATTTAGTTAAGAGAAATTACACAATTCAAGATACAGTGTTTTAAGTGAAATTTTTTACGAAATAATTTTTCGTTCTCGTTTGTTTTGTACTCGTCTTTTAATATTTAAAGCTCTTTTTGAGTAATACACGATGAAGTTGTAATACATTATGAAGTATCCTGCTAATTAGGTATCTTCGCGAAAGAAAAAAGAGTTTTGAACTCACTTGTGTTTTATTTTTTTTTAAAGAATAATTAAAGTTTTGTATGGTCGTAATAAATTCCAGAGCATCTTACTGATAAGGTATAGTACATTATTTTAACAATGTCAATCTTGAAGAGCAACGAGAGCTTAATATAACGTATTCTTTTTGTAATAACTTAAAAGACAGACCCTACAGACGGTATTTCTCGTGTAATAACGTAGCGTATAAACTTTGCAAATTTGGAAAACTTGGTAAGACATGATTCCTCCCACTTGCGAAAAGTTTAATATTTGGACGTACTTTAGATTCCGATTATCTCCCGATTCTGCCTCTTCAGCTTTGGAAAGGAAGTTTCGCGAGTCTAAACTCTGTTCAATCCGAGCTGCCTAAATTCGTAAGTTCTGAAGAATCCGAACGCCGATCAAATATAGGATACGTTATCTTCGTTTCATAACTGTACGACATTACGATTGCTCGTTTTACCTTGTAGCTAGAAAGGGACCGACACTTGCGCCATCGTTCACGCCTTCTCGATTTCCGCGACAACACCTTCGTTTCTCGACCCTCTCTGAAACTTTATTCAACATCTCTTACATTTATTGGCTCCTCGCGAGCTCCTCATTTCTAATCCAGAGGCGAACGGTGGTGATATATATCTCCTTCGCACTTTCGTCCCTTCTCGCTTTATCTTGCGTGGGCAGCCAACCAGAAAGAATCGTAAACCGGATCCACCCCTTCTGGGGGTTAACCTTCGTGCGCTTCAAGCCTCGTAAACTCCGCTCGGATGCATGAGCTCGTGTATGAATTGAAGTACGAGCGTTTCTTATCTTTCGGGAGATTTTACGTAAAGTCGAGATTACCGCAATCCTCCCTATCGCGATTATTTTTGATGGTCTTTCTACTTATGCGCGGTTCATGCCTTCTCCGAGAACCGGAAAAGCATTTCCACTCTTGAAATTTTTAACGAAACGTTCTCATAATACTCGACTTACACACTTAAAATTGCGCTTTTTAATTTTATCTCTTACAAGATTGTCAGATTTGCAATTGAAAGGAATTTATTTTTATTATTAAAATATTACCAAAAAAGATATATGTTATAAAGAAGAAGATAAAGTATAAAGAAATTTAAATTTATTTTAATCTTGATTTTTCTTATAAAAGGAAACAATAATTTTAAATACATAAGATCTAACATATAAAATTAGATATTTAATTTAATGTAACGCAATAAATATATATTTTCACTATTCCTTTATATTTCATTCCGTGTGATTTTTCAAAAACGAGTTCAATTTAAGCGCGTCGGTGGAAGAAGCTTCGTCAAAAGCGTCGAAAACGCGCAAATTCAAATGCAACTGCAAACATCGTCAAAGAAGCTCTTGCGAAATTTTCGCGAGAATGATAATCAAGTCGGGAAGTCGGGGAAAAAGCATCGGTGTGCGCGATTTATTCCTTCAACAGGAATGTGCACGGCTAGAACAAACTCCGTGGGAAAAGTCCGCGTAGAATGCGCCCGCACGAAAACTTGTTTTCTTTGAGCTTAATTCACTGGCAATTATGGATCTCGCGCGAAGGCGGAAAAAGAGATACATCCCCTGTCGAGCTAAAATCTTGGTTCGCGAAATAATGGTAACTGACCTGAAATCGCACCCTTATGTTTCACGAAGCATGCAACTGACAAATTCGTTTGAGGTCGCGCAGACCAAAGAGAATCTGGCATAACGAGGTGACGAGTAACATGTTCTTAGAATATCGCGCTTCAAATTGATATCTTTTTCGACATTAAAGTTATTTATTTATGAAATTTACGATTTAATTTTAATTAAGTGGATCCAATGCGCGGGTTATTTCTCAGTCGAAATACGAATTTGTAGAAAAAAAACTTATCCGTGGACATAATATATAATAAAGAAGATTTTAGATTTATATTAGCATTAGTGAATAACGGTCTTCGGAAAGATCAAGCGTTTTTTGATAATTCAGAATGGCCACTTCTATTATCTCAGAAAAAAAGTGGCGTTATTCGCACGGCATTGCGGTATAATAACTTATCTTCGATATACAATAAAAATCGCCAACGGTATCCATCGGTTTGCGGTTTTCGCGAGTCCACGTATCGATTTCATATTTCATATTCCACCGACTAAGAAAGGAACCATTGTACGTATGATCCCACCCGCATGTGAAAATGGAGTAACTCTTTTATTTCGTCGGCGATCTTATCCTCTTCTGCAGATCTTGCTTTTCACGAGATTCGCGCTGTCTCTCTCACATTTCGTGATATTTTTTAGTCACTAGATATACACGCTTGCTCTCCCAAAGTAAATTTTATAAAAAGCTACATGCTGTAATTCAATCTTCTTCTAACTTATACGTACGTATACTGTTTCTGGAATTGTTAGAAGATAAATTCTTTTGTTTACTCTTTTAATAAAAGCCCTTATAAAGGAGTATAAAGCAGTCTTACAGTCTTGCGATGCATATGGCAACTTGCTTTAGGCCAATCGCTATTCGTCATGTTTTCAACTGAATTTATGGCGCTTTGGGTTCTTTCAATAGGCAGGTTATAATGTACATTGTAGAGAAAATCAATGATGGTCGATGGTCGAAAAGGTCAGATACCGTGAAAGAATCTTTTTCCTGAGCAATCTATCTGGTCTTTTAACAATAAATCGACTCATAAAACAAGCTTATAGTCAACGATGGGTAATTTATTTACTGGATTCACATTTTACATCAACCTGCGATCACAGTTAGCTTTGGACAATTTATAGACTTCTAAAACACTTTCATCTACCATTTATCGCTTTTCACTTTAGAATGAGAGTTCGGATGGAGTTCAAATCCACTCGTTTGAACGTAAATTCCACAAAAAGGAGTTTTAATGGTTGAAAGTTGTATTTGCGTAATAATTCCAAAACCAAAAAAATTTAACGTTTTGCACGTGAAGAGAATAGCGTTCTCAAATAAAATCAAAATTAATCGAAAATATCTATTCACGTATATTTATGTTATAGGATTCATTATATTCAAAAATCATAAAAAAATATCGTTTTTGAACTAAATTTTCTCTATATAAATTTTTCCGATTTCAATTCGATTTAATATACTTATCAAAACGTGAAAGAGATGAATCACTATGTAATAGTGACAGTAAAACTGATAGTTTCGGCACAGCGCTTTATATCAATATGCCTATATTTAACATGAAAGAATGGGCGATATGATTGGTCCGATATTGCGAGAACGCAATCGCTCGCTTCATTGTTCACGCCAACGCACACAGGAAATTTTATGTCGCTTGATGACGCTCCTGCTTTCACGATAAAGCGTTTCTTCAACGCTACTGCAGGGGAACGAATCAGCACAGCGCTACTTTCACCTGATGCAGTTGCATGAGAATTTTCAAAGGTAGAAACGCGTATCCCTGAATGAAGGTATTTCCCGGTAGAACCATAAGAAGGGCACGGTTCGAAAGTGGCTCCTTGCCTCACCGAGCGATTCGGATCTCGCGAAAGGGCTTTTTCGCGTGAGTGCTCGCCCCATGTGCAACTTCTCGGCGACATACGTCGTTGTTTCCATAAAGAGGGAAGAATTTAAAGTCGCAACTTGACGGAGTAAAAGCATCGCACGCGCCGATAGACGTGTTCTTGCGCGCGAAACGTATGCAAATTGCGACAGTTGAAAAGAAGAGATTGAAAGAACGGAGTCGGCGATCGGTGATGAGCGAATGTCGATAACGAGAAACGGTGACAAACGTATTTACTTTTAAACGAGTGGATAGGACGATAAATCGAGAACGATTGCCGGAGTGTGACGAGGACTAAGGCAACGAAACTCGCGACCAACTCGCGTTTTACAAAGCCCGGGCTTTGTACGATGTCAGATGTGTGTGTAAGGATCGTTCCAAAGATTGAGACGCGATATGTTCATCCTTAGGTTTATAGTTCGATTTTATCGCTACGAGGACTTACGGTTTTGTGACGCTTTGTGTATTTTTAGAGCGCCACATATATCTCGGCGGTTCCATTTTTATCGCTGCTCGTATAAATAGTATGCAAATAAGAGGCGAATTTTCCGAATCTGCGCTCAAGATTCTGTGTGTTTCTAATCAGGTCACCCTACAGGTAAAACCGAAGTCGTTCAACTAATGTTCAATTGCCATATCAAAGCGGTGGTTTCCGCTTGTGTGCCGAGATTAGTTGTTAGTTTACAATATCGGTGCAACAGCGGGAGAAACGTAACGGTTTAAGGGAATTACACGCCCTGACTTCGGCCCCTGGGGCGAAGTTTGCTCGATGGAAACGACGGTAAACGTTTACGTATAGTGACGGACGACACAGAAACGGTCAGAATGTACCGACGCACGCGGAAAATCGATTTCTCCCGCGGGACCCCTTGCCGCGTGCACGTGAAATGCAGGAGAATGGCCCAAGACGGAAACTCTGCAAGTCGATAATTAGATGGATATCGCGCACATACGCGAGTTCTCACACGTGAGAACACACATGCGAACCGGTCGTATGCGGGAATCCCAACGCGGACGTGTCGGTAGCAGCTTGAAAGCTGGAAACGTAATTTCCACGTTTCCCACGGCAGACGGTGAGGTCTACTGTCTTCTCTCGCCTCCCACGGGATATTATAATACAACCAACGAACATTTTTTCTTACGCGCTTTCGCGAATGATTTTATCGATTTCCAATTACCGCATGTGGAATGTAATCGACGTAAAAAAAAGGCGTAAAATAATACGCAAAGGAAATAATTTTTCATTAATAAAAATGTGATATGAATTTTTTCGACGGAATAAGAATGCGAAATAGTTATTGCAGCGCCGATTTCGCAAATATTACGATCATTATACATGCTTTGTAGCGACGGCATTCACCATGTTAGATTGAAAGGTTTAGTCACAACGCATAATATTATTTTGATTACTTGTATTAGCTTCTACCTACTGAAGAGCGTCTTCTCTTTGTTCTTTCTTTTTCTGCGTCTTCATATCATCTCCGCATGTGTCATTTCTTTCTTACTTTAGGATTTTGATTCTCACATTTCATTTCGCGCATATGGTGCCGTATTGGTTCATCTTATGAGTAAATTTCCATGAGTAAATTAAATAAAATATGGTTTGACATGTGGACATATTTTGCACGTTATTCAAGATAACGCGGCCATATTTTTCGGAATGCGAACGAAGAGATGCGAATATTAAAAGAAGGAAATTACCGCGTCGGCATTTGTCATTAAGTTTAGTGCATTCATATTCCCACGGTTTGCTATGCAGCCAGCAACTCGCTAGATTTATTATTGCTTTTAATAGAATGAGTAATTTTATCTCTACAAGCTAAATATGAATACTATCTACAAATAATTAAATTTTCTATAATTGTCAGATATATTTTATAATTCCTCATTTTATATAATTTTTTAACAAATGCATATATGTATATTCATGTTATGAGGATATGCACTCGGCATAAATATCTGCGGAATGCGAATCGCAGAAGATCCGTTTTCGTCGACGCATGTCGTTTACATCAAGTTTCCGCCGCATTATTGTGGTCTTGAAAATTCGGCAGCGTTTATGCATGACGGTGGCGTATGTGAATGGGTATGTGTGGTACGCCGCGTGGCTGTTATGTAATTATCATACTAGCTGACCAGCTGATTAACAATACAAAGACAAGGGAGAATCATGCGGTTGTTTTGTCAACCGATTTTATCAGAAATTAGGATTAATTAGAATTGAAATTTTAGCATTTTTGGTAAACCCGGAAAAATTTATTTCTGATAATTGATTTGCAAATTATCATCGACTGATTCCAAATGAAGTTAATCTCTTTTCGATACAGCGCTATAAGAACATGAAACAGTTGCTATCGCGCGGCTAGCGCGTTGAAAAATTAGGATGGCAATCTCATAGACGCAATGAACGAAAAAATTAACATGGATTTTGTGTTACATCGTATGTTATATTATTTGTATGATATTCACGAATTATGTTATATTAGTATAAGTATATTAAAGATATGAAAAGAAATAGTTTCATTAAATTCGCACGAGAGATCTCTAAAGCTAAGAATGAACTTTATGTGTGGTTAGTCTGAAAACTATAATTACTTCAGCAGCAAGTACAAAAAAATATTCTACTTAATTGCGACTACGCAAAAAATTACATCTCAGTTGTATTTGTACTTTTTTGTTTCCTACAGACAGAGTCACTACGTTATCGCAATTAAAATTACTATCCGCTTCATTAAGATGCGCCCGTGTAACGTGGTTAAATTGCGTTTAATGTAATCAAGCTTGAACGGAACCATGTAACTCGAGCCTCTGCGCGCAATTAGCCGATTGAAAATGGAATCCCAGGAATCCTCGACAATGTGTGGATATCGTCAATGGTGGTGTTGGATAACCAATGACTTTTTAAGAACACGGTAGAATGATTCTCCGTAATGTCACGCTCTTCACAACTGATGCTTTTATTGCTCAAATGGAAGTTTTCTCGATTAAAAAGCCAGTACCTCTTTTTTCTTGTGCGTTTGTTTGCGATTTCGTCCTTTCCGCTTTGGCTTCCGCGGAATTCAATCGCCGCATTTCCGGGCAACGTCAAAAACGTATTTCCATAGAAGTCGGAAAACGATTTTTATTTTACTTTTTATCAAGAGGTTATAACCGTTTATTGTTGACCTTTATTTTCAACATCCTTTACTCATTTATGAAGGTTTATAACCGATATTCACATCGTTTGCAATATGATATTTAAAGTGATGGTTAAAAAAATATACATGTAAAAAAATATACGCGTTTTTATGAACGGTTCATCGGTCATTTCGTCGATTTATTCATGTTTTGCAAATATTGGCATATGACATAAAATTCCGCATGCGGATCCAGCGATATTAGTTTTACTTCTAGTCGAGAGCTTTTCATAAAAAAGCAGAAATAATCTAATTTCAAACTCTATCTCGTCGGCCAGAAGGCCGACGTAAAATTAAGTTGCTGTTTTGCGCAAAAGCAAACTGGTAAGCTACAGTTATCATAATTTGTCCACTTCTACGGATATTTTTTTAGCCAGACGTATATTCTTCAACAATTGCAATAACCGCAGTAAAAGGTGGACAGGTAACTGCAATTTCAAGCTTCGACTTCAAAGCGACCTACGAATTGTTCTGTCCATCTATCTATTTTTGTTATTATATTTATTTCTATCGGATTTGTCTTCTCTTGCTTCACTCGTTTGTATAACCAATTCATGCTACATTTTAAAATATTTTATTACTCAAAAAAAATTCCATATTGCAACCAACACTTTCACACGATGTTCAATATAAAGTTTGTGTGTTAAAATAAATTAAATCTTTGTGATTTATTAGAAAATTTAAATAATTTTTTGAAATTTTTTTTAACTTTTTAATCAACAATTTGACACGTTATTTGATTTAAAGAAGTTTAGTGATTTATCAAGAAAGTAAAGTATCAACAATCTTTGAATTAACAGTTTGATTTGATACTCGATTGGTAAAGATTTTTATAATTCTTATCGGTTCTGATCGCAGAGTGAGCGGATTTTCTGAATGACGTGTTAGCACTCAATGTTGCAGATGGTGGTCGGAGTCTGTCAAAAAAAGCGGCAGTGCAAGTTCAACACTAATCCGAAGACCTTCCAGGGTGATCCTTGCCCCGGATTAAAAAAGTACATCGAGGTCGCTTACAAATGCCGTCCTTGTAAGTAGTCCTATCCATATACATACACGTATACACACACACACGCGCGCGCGCGCGCGCACACACATTTGTACAAATGCATGCACGAACGTGCGCGAGCATACTTGCGAGATCGAACTTTGCCTTCGAAGGAATCGTTTTTCCCTGAGACATCCGATTCCTTTTTATGCGGACATCGAGCATTAGTTCGGTTCGCCGTTCGCATAAGAGACCCGACGATATCGATGAAATTCCTCGCGCGACACGCACGACGGATCGGCCAGAGACTCGCGAGAAATTCCCAGGCGCGACGTGATCTGGGAAACTTCAATGTCGACGGCTGCGAGAATATTTACTACGAGAGCAAAAACGCAACCATTGCATTATTCCGAGACCGTGTAGATTCAAATAAAATGGAAATTTAAAAATACAGCATTAATGTTAATAAGTTTCATAAAATCTTTGTAAGAATTATAATTTTTAGCAATATTAATTTTTAAACGTGTGATAATATACATATATAAAGAATTTAATATAGTTTAGAATCAGAGCTCTATTTTTTATTATTTCATACATTTTGTGACGAGTTTTCTCTCCGAATTTTCCACAATTAGAGATTGTCGAATAATGATAAAATAAAAAATAGGAAAATTTAATACTAAGCAAAATAGAAAATTATTTATTTATTTTTTCTTTAAGATAATCTTACTATTTTTACTGTTGGTGTCAAAAAAGTTTGGCTCTAAAATTATGCAAGAAGGCGATACTGATAATCGCATCTGCTACGCCAATACTTACGACGTAATACTTATACAAAAATATACGTTTGAACCATAGCAATCATATCAGAAATCTATACGTACGCGTCCACATAGAGCAATGGCGACAACCTGTTGCAGTAACAAGCTCCAAATAATTTTTGCCACAGAGCGTAGTAACTCCATCGCAACGCGTTTTACATTCTGGAGATTCGTGTTGGTTTCTGCAACCGCGTAGAAACCACAGTCATCTCATTGTTTACTGTACACACGGTAAATCCAGGTGCTTTTTCGGGAGCACCGTTGGCAGCGTTAAATCACTCTTCTGAACAAAGGTGGGTCAGTTTTGCGTGCTGAAAAAGGCTACAGTAGAATGTAAGCGCAAGAAATACGGTTTCGTAACTGGCTCGTTTTAGTTCGATACGATACGAGAATGTTGAATAGCAGAACTCTACTTATCTTCCTCAATCTCTTTGAAACTTTCAGACACAATCCGTTTAATTGTACAATGTATTATAGAGAAATAGTCTTATATAAAAAATATTAAATATTTTATATGTAAATGTATTTTTATTATAATGGAAGTTTAATGGAAAGTAAAATACATTTTTTTTAATACAGTTCAGTCATTTATAAATCGCTAAACTTAGAATGCTTTAACGAATTTGACCTACTGCACATGTTTAAAAACATTGACTATGCTTTTTTATACCATTTATGTCGCAGCAAATCTGATAATAACTAAATGTATTATTTCCTAAATGTTATTTCCATTTGATAATATACGAGATAGATTTACTGAATAAATGTTATTTTATCATTTAAAAGAAAAAATTATATTTTTTTAATTTCATATATTACTGAAAATCGTAAAAGAAATTGTTACAATTTAAAACGTGGACCAATTTAAATAATAGGCAGCATTTTTTTGGGATGAGATTTTGTGACATATGTATATATTGAGATTTATATATAGATAGCTATTCTTTCTGGACACAATGTTTGTGATATCAATTAATATAAATATGATTACAAATTTAATATAAAACAATATAATTTTAATAAATAGATAATACTTTGATTTTTTGTTAAATATAATGAGTTTAAATCAGTGTAGATTGTATTAATTTATTGGAAAAATTTTTTAGAGAAAGAGCTACATTTTGTAGTAAAACGATAATATATTTTCTTTCAACTTAGTGTATTTGTAACCATTTTTTAATATTTACTTGATTTAACATAATAATGTTGGTGAAGTAAAACAAAGATACTGTCTTTTGGAGATCTTATGGATAAATTGTTGTTTCGTTTTTTTTTTTTTCTTTTTCTTTTTTGGTTGCTCGGTTCGCGTATTATACTTGGCATTGGAATTTTGATCAATAATAGTGTTTGAAATGATTAAGCTGGAATATATGACGTTATGTTTTGATTCTGTGACTGAGAAATTCCAGTCCCCGCGGGTGGGGGAAGTAATATAAACAGAAAAGATAAGTAACTCTGGAGTCAATATGTGGTTGTCGAACAGACGGTGCGATTGCTTCATCCCATGTCATATCACGAGAGTACTTGAAAGTTTGTTTTCCGTAGACACTGTTGCGAGTACTTTCCCTTTGGTGCTGATTTATTATATATTCCGGACTTTCCGAATAACGATTCCACAATATTTCTCTCATTTAACAAGCTTTACAATCACCTCGAGATCGTTTTCGAAAGAGCACTGAACACCGAAACGTGAAACGCTTTAGCAGATACGAGGAAAAGTTGGCAAACGAGAGTACATATTATGGCGAGCAAGGTTGAGAAGTTTTCCTGCCGTATTTGCGCCGTGTAATACAGAAGACAATAGCTTTGATTATTACCTGGAAGCTCTTGTCTTAAGATATCTCTCTCTTGCAGAATAATCTTTAATGTGTCTATAAAAAGATTTTAATCCAACACAAAGAACAAATACACTTCAAAACAAATTCCCGCATTTAGAATGATTCAGCGGTTTATTTTAGATTAAATAAATATTGTTAATAAATTTTTTTAAATATACATGAAATAAAAATACATATTTTGCTATAGCGCTATATAACGCAGTGTAATAGAATCATGTTTCGTGTAATTTGATTTGGCAGTAGTAAAGCCATTTGCAGGCAGACAAGTAGTATAGATTGACATTTTGCAGCCAACTATCAGTAGATGAATTAGTTTTTGAGTTGACGAGAACTTATTTTGCATCAAAATATCAAATATACTAGGAAAAATAATCTTCACCATTGACCATTTAGGTCATAATGTAATTACATTTTTATTAATTAATTATTCTTTTATAGCGTAGTGTGATAATTTAAAAATTAAATTGATTTTTCTCTTAGATAAAAAAAAAGAAACACTAAATCTTACATAGTCATATAATATATATATATATAATTTCTCAAGTGGTAAATCACTCGAAACGTAACAGTTGGTTCGTGCATCGCTTTTTGCGCTAATAGTTCTGCAGGGCACAACTTAATGATGTATAATTTTCTGACTGCATTAATGATGAGTGCAGGAAACTATAAGTGAAAAGCCCAAATGTTCCGTAAAATGTTCATTTCACGAAACTTTTTACCTCGGGACTTTTTTTTCTAGAAATATGGTGTCGCATGTAGCGGCGAAATAAAGACCATATGCAGTTATTTAGAAAGCATGCGCCTGCACTCCGTAGTTTGCTAGAGGAAGCATAGGAAATATGACGATAATAGCACACTTGAAACAAAATTAATTAAAGTTAATTCTTGTTGTAATTTTAAATTTGAAATAAATATGTATATACATTTGCATTGCAACTGCAATTATTTACAAATGTATTATTATAATATTTCTATTGTTTTATATGAATTTGATGTAACATTGAATACATAATGCGGCATCCACATTTGTATAATTTCATTTTAATTATTATGACATTTTCATGTTAAGGGGTGAAGAGAAGAGGGGAAAGATAAACGCAAATATTTTCGTTATTCTCTAACGATACAGTATACTCATAAATTAATTAATATTATATTATATTAAAATCTCATAATTCCCTACATAGTGCATTTGTAAAATGTAAGCGATATACATGCAATAATTTTACTGCGGCACACTTTTTATTGCGACAGAGAGCAAAATCCATTATCTTCGCATAAATCGCTATTTATATTTGATCTATTTAAATATATATTTACTTGGCGTGTTTACAACCGTGGAACTTCATCCAAAAACGAAATCGCCCGAGCGATGGGATGACGCTACGTGGCTAACGCGGTTGTCCTCTGTAATACATCAGCGGGACGATTACATATTACATGTGTCGCGTTACGTGCCAAAGCCAGCCGACACCTCACGCGCCGCCCGCAAATCTATCCAACGACAACACGTGCCACTTATTGCATCGCTGTACACGCACAATATAAGCCGCGTATACGAACGTGCTTAATCTGTCTAATTAGTTTTTGCTTCGTTCGTCCAACTGATGATCAATGTAATGAGGAGTAAACGAGGTTGCTTCATGTTTCACCGTGTCACGATGGGATTTGTGGCGCGTATAATGGACATTCAGATTGCAATTCGATAGTATTCATGTATGTAAATGTGATTAACGAAAAAGCATATTTTTAATTCTTAATTTTTATTTATATAGATTTTATAGAAATTTTATAAATTATTGCGAAAAAAATGACTACTTTTTAATATTTGCATTACTCGAATAATTACAAAGTCATACAATTGCTTATCATTTGTTAATTTATTAACTTATTAGCGTGTGATTGAATAATTTTAAACATTGTGCCTGTTTTTTTTTTTAATTTACTTCACGCTCTTTTGAACCCACGTCGCTCCTGCGACAAGTCATTACCGCGTACTATGCATAATATCTATTTGAGGATCTAATAAGATCATCCTTATCGGCTCCTCAGTCTTGTCGGTCACTCTCGACACGTATTCCGCCTCCGTGTTATTCGCCTTCGCATCGCATCGGTGGAGTGTTCGAAAAAGGGCCGGATATACTTTGAAAAGAATTCCATTCGTCGGCATACATGGGCCGCGTCGAATACCGACGTGCCCCCACAGAAGAGGCGGGCACGTACTTCGCTTGCGTTTTCCCCTCTTCCTCGCTCTCGCTTCATGCACAGGAACATACGTGGAAACTAGAGATTCCATCGATGTCGGGAAAAGTAGGTCGATCGAAGTCCCGGCCTTTTGCTGAAAAAGCGAGGAGCCGGCTCCATTGTCGCTTCGAGTGGTCCGCCGTTGAGGGAATTACCTCTCTCCCCTTTCCACCCATTCCCCACCCGTTCACACGACGGCGGCGTTTCTTCCTTTTTGCCAATTAAAGCTCCAAACTGGACGTCCCTCTTCGCGCGCGAGCTCCGCGGAGGATCCTACGGCAATAAGGAAGTTCCGCGAGCTCTCTCTCTCTCTCGCGTATATATACCATGGATTCGCTCTTCCAAGCGAAATTTCACGGGCCATTGATGCTCCGGACTTTGATACGTCCGCTGGAGAACGCTGGTCCTTTCTTTCCGTGAATACGAGCCCCGAGGGATCCCCGGCAGGTATCGCGTGGCGATTTTTGCTTTGCATGTAATGTGGCCATGATAGCACGATACAGGCAATATATTCCTACGTAGGGAAATCTTAGATGCGCAAACTAGTGTAATTTAATGCTGATAACGTAAAGGATGCTAAAGAGAATAGACTACTTTGTAAAATTATCTTTCGTGATATCGTGATATTGTGATATTATCCTTCGCTATATCCACAAGCTGTTAATTTCGGTCGGTTTAATTGTTGTACGTTGTACGTTATAATCAGCGGAATTAGAAACGGATTTTGTGTCTTAATTTTGTTATACTTTAGTTACGAATAAAATATAAAAATAAGAAAAATTCAAATAATTGTTACAGACACAATTTTTGATGAAAAAATATTGATGTATCATTGTTTGTTAGTTCAAATTAAACTTGGTATCGTGTATAAGATAATATAAATATAAATATAATATAAATAGAAAATATATGCATGCAGAGAACCATAGTTCGTGCAACAGAAAGTTTGAACAAAAACATTAAAAATGTTATGATACCGAAAATAAACCAGTACGTTGTTGGAAAAAAATACGACGTTAAAATAGGCCAATCGATGCCATTCATGGTCATGTAACTATACATATAATAGAGTTAAAGATTTGCCGAAGAAAATTGAATTTTTGTAGAGAAAAAGTGTAGCTTGTATATTAAACCTAGATTTAGTGAAAAGATACAAAATTTTATCGATCCAATTTAATATAGTTCTGGCTCTAATAAGATTATATCAGTACATCCACTCTCGTTAAAAAATTCAGAAAAGTGATTTTTTTTCACTAGGCAAGCGAAAATATGGGATAGAAAAAAAAATTAAACTATAAAAGTGAGTCCGCCAATATTTATGGTAGTGCGAATTAAAGGCAAAAATAGCTAGCACAGCGGATTTAGTTAACTAATATCGTTATGTTGGTTGTGGCACATTCGTGGTTTTAGCAAAGCTATTGCGTCAAATAATGTTTGCTCGCGCTACACGTAATTTTGCGCTCGCGGGCGAGTGTGGTGTGGCCATTGGCCTCGGTGCACCGGCGAAAGAAGTTCGAAAGCCAACGGCGGCAAGCACCGTAAATCGCCAACTCAATAAAGCAGGGCATAACACTTTATCTCAAGCATAAGTGCACCCGCCGACTTCCGTGCGTGGTAAGAAACATGGTCGCGGTATGAAAAGATGTTGCCCGGCGTGGGATCGTGGGTTATGGTCAAAGTTGTTCTTCCGCAACAAAACCGCGATATATCAACGAGTTATCACGGTGTTTCGCTGCACTCGAATGCGGGTGAATACACGGGACTTAAGTTGTGCATCTAGAATTTTTATCATCAATTGTGTCGCAACGAGTCTTTGCTTTATACCATGTTTGTAACACGTTTAATCGCGGGTTTATGTGAATGAGAAAGATAAAAATGTAAGGATACTTTCGTGAACAAAAAAAAAAAACGTTACTGAATTGAGGAAGAAAGACAATAGCGTTACGATTTTTGTTGACGGAATCTGATTTGCGGAAATCGTTCGCCAAATATAAAAATTCGCAATTTTTACAAGCTTAATATCGTTGACTAGCAAATATTGTAATTGTTCTTTTACGCTTTACTAATGACAAAGTTTTTATATCATACTGTGGAAAACATTGCAACATCATTAAAGCATTGCGAACGTTGAAATGTGATAAATCGAGAATCTGCGAAAGTCCCATTACTTTTGACTCGCCCTCGTTTCTCGCATATTCACAGTTAGACATCGGCGCAAGACCAAACACCGGCAATCCGTAAGATCGCAAACTGCGTCTGTCGCAAGAAACTTTCCAGAGCGACGCGATCTCTGCGCCATGGCGGACGCAAAAACTTACTATCGGCAGCTGCAAGCTATTCCGGTTCATTGAAATTCGCGAATGCAACGTGTCGTAACGAGACAAGTAGACAGCGTCTGTTTCACCTCGAGGAAACGTCTGTGCGCAAAAAGCGTCTTCTAGCGGAGTTCGAGCCACAGAATTTACGATCTGTCGTAGACTTGGTTGAAAAGTTTCTTCTTTCTTTTTTTTCTTTTTCTTTCTATTGCTACGAGACGATGAGACCAAGCCCGGTTGCTCGCTAATAAAGTACACTTCATAAAGCAGCGTTGCACGAACATAATTGCGTTTTGCGCGACGAGGCGGCGAGGTTGCTGGTTTATTAAAGATCGCCTTAATTTTGTGGTTTCAGATGAGTTCAGGAGCAAGGTGGCGTGCGAGAACGATATCATCAATCTCGTTTGTTATCCTGGCCAAAGGGTGGCGATTTTCAGCGCATCCTTCGGTAGAACACAATATGAGTCTCTGCAGTGTCCGCAGCCGCGAGGCGTGAAAGAGGAAAGTGAGTATTCTATTTTTATCGACGACACTCCGATGACATTCTATTGCTTATAATTAGAGTTCAGACAAATAATTCAGTTTGGTCTTTGTCTCTTATTGCACGTTCGAACTGTTCGAAGAAAAGAAAATGATCTTCAAACAGTTTGAACGTCAATAATAATGTCAATTTATAATATTAAAAAATTTGAACACGTTGGATATTGAAAATTGAGGCAAAAATAATATTTATTGCAAACAAAATAAAAAGCTCTTCGTTTTTACGTACATATGTATATCAATTTCCAAACTTTGCAGGCTATGTAGTTGAATTGACGTTTGCGTAAAGTTAGGCAAAAACAAAAAATTCTCTATTTTCTGTTTAGCTCGAAACAACTCGATACCAACTGTTTAACTTTCGGCTATTTAATACTCGCTTTTGAAATCCGAATTGTTTGAATCACTCGACCACCCGGTATTTTTTAGCAATAATTTTATTTATTTTGTTTTGTTTTATAATATTATGATTATATTTGTGACATCTGCTTGGCATTATACTTGTTATTGTAAGTAATCGAGCATAAACTCGAATTTTAGAGCCTCACGAACTTTGGCGTGTGTTTCACGTTTCACATTATCTTCGTTTTATACCACGTCGTTCCATATAGCTCGTTTACCTCACAGAAAATAATAACACGAAGACGCTTCGGAGATATAGTTGACGTTAACTATTTACGTGGGTAAATACCGCGCGTTATTAAAGTAATGATATCCATCGTGCAGCGTCGTCGTAAATCACGAGCGGAAAACCGATCTCCGCGAGTCAAATAACAAATTATAGAATTTTTTGATGCTGTTAGCGACATATCTGCAGGATCGATCGATAACTTCTGTCGCTCATTTCTTCTGTTTGCCGATGACTTTTTCGGCAGAGAAAAGCCCTCGAGCCGATGTTTGTCCTAGTTTATTGTCATACTTGGCGACGAGATTGCGACTCTTCTTTCCGCGGTCGTCGAAGTTTCGGATGAGGTTCGTGCGATGTGGGAAGAGAAAATTAAAGTGAGTTTTCCCCGCGGATTAAAAAAAAAAAAGAAAAAGACGAGTGTTTTCGTTTCCTGGACGGAGTGGGGTAATTCAATGACCGACAGATGCATTTTTGCGCTAAATATGACGTTTGATATCGCGAAAGTCTATTACTCACGTTTATGCGTTGCGAAAAGCGTCACCTTTAATTTGAGAAGAACGAGAAATTTGTCTTTCCCGGACGCGGTACGTGGTTTTATTTAACTTTTCAAAGTAAATTCTTTTAACTCGCGAATGAATGTCTCGCCGACGTTCCCACGACTACTTTTTGTCCTGTCCAATCAATCGATTCCGACGAAAGCGCACGGGTTCTCCAGTCTCGTTGCACGAGGGAACGTAAATGGGAATGGGTCACCGCGGAGACCATTGTACTTTTAGTTATCGCGAGGTGCTATTTCGACGATACTCTTTAACTGTCTGAAACATATACGATTAAGGATATTTTTATTTATTAGGTATTTATTTACGCTATGTTCCTTCAATCAAAGTATCGTTTCAGATCATTTTAATCGTTTCAATGCATGTACATCATTCTATAAAAGAACAAACGTTCTCTGAATGAGCATTGATTAAAGTTAACTGATTTTAGAGAGGCAGAAAAACTTAAAAGATTAATTACTCTCAATTAACTTTATGTAAAGAGACTTTATTTTCCGTCTTTTCGCGCTCAACAGAAAATACCGTTTCTTCTTCTTTTGCGCGCGAAAGAAATTCTGATTTCACAGCTATCTGAATAGCTCGGCTCTGTTCCCGATGATCCAATAAATCTCTTCGCTAAACGCAATTCCTTGGTCCACTTGTCCGGTTGTCATTCGCCAACTCTCGTGAAGTCCAGCTTTAATGCTGAGAGTCAAGGGGTTGCTGCTTTGCGGTTGCGTTTACCTCTTGAGTGCGACAATAAAGAATAAAATCTACGGAATGGTGGCGCGTCATAATGGCGCTTTTTTGGCGGGTTTTCTTTGCCGCGAATGCCGTGCGGTTTGCCCTGATATTCCTTCAGAAGACGCGCTACGTCGTCACGTCTTATGTCGACGTGTGCGGGACGTACATTTTCTCGCACAAAAGAGTATCGGAAACTCCGGCGACTTCCTGCTCTTCTTGGATTCCTGTTCCTCTGTCATCTCGCGTGAAGTCGGATCGATAAATTCCCGTTCTTTTTCACAACGCGGCTGTGCACGTTTCGTCGACCATCTTTTTTGAATTTTATTCGCTGACGAAAACAACGTGACGTCTCTTTCAACCGTAAACGATAAAGGCAGAATTGTACAGATGTTTGAATGCAATTTCACGAAATAGTAGATTTTTGTATTTTCATTAGAGTGAAAAAATAATTACGTGTGGAAATTGCATTATGTATGTTTGTGCTAATTTTCATATTTTAAACAAGAGCAAAGTTTAATTAACGCTGGCAATTTTTAAAAAATATTTTTATATTTTTTATATCAATCTGAAAATTTGTGCGCAAAGTGAGTCAGTTATTTCAGTTTTTGCTTCCATAAAGTTATTATTATCAAATGTATAAGCATCGATATTTTCTTTACATTTTCACGTAGAATATTTTATATATGAAAGTATTAAGGATGCGGTTTCTCTCTCCTTCTCAACATGTTTTTTTTTCTTGGTTCTATAACACACTGATGTTGTTACTATTATATATTTTCAGCCTGCTTAGTGGACTACGCAACGGAAACTGTAATGAATATCTGCCACGGTAAACGACGATGCTCTGTAGTGGCTAACAGCACAACATTTGGCAGAGAGGATCCTTGCAGACCAGACAGTAGAACCTATCTCAAAGTTGTTTACACCTGCGGTGAGTGTTGAAAAGTTTTCTTGTATTGAAATGTGCTGTCAATTACATGGAATAAGCCAAATGTACAGCGCATCTGTTAATATTTCAGCTAATGATTCACTTTGGAAGCTAGAATCATATTCATTTAAATGTGGCAAAGTACATTCGTTTGTTATAAACAATATGAACATCATATAAATATCTATGCACTAGAAATCTCGATGAGAAATGTTGGCTTCAACTAACTTTGAACACAGATATAAATGCAAAACTAAAAGGCACGCTGTACATTTGTGGCGCGCGTGCGCAAACAAAATACTAGACGAGTAAACAACGATAATATCGTAAATATATAATAGCAGCGAACATAAAATCCATTGCACAAAGAGATAAGTAAAGCCACTTATTTAAACGGGAAAATTGTACGAGCATTTCTTTTGCGAGAAAGCGTAGCCGATGGCTATTCAGCGTTGCAATCCTTGCAGCTTGAAAAGCAATAAGAAAAACTGATATTACAGACCGTGCAACAGCAATGTTCGGTAGGGGATTTATCTATAGCGTGCTACACAATGGCGTATAATGAGCGTAGGAACGCTCCTGTGAGGAGAAGTTATTTTATTGCGAGGTTCGAAGTGACTCGGCGCGGCAGCAGCGAGCCGGGCGACAGCTTTAAACAAAATGACGTCGTCGCGGATCTTCCCTTCAGCCCAGGGACGGGATTCGTACTGAATTTCGCCCCTGACATTTTTAATGGGCACTCTTTCCCGGGAACGGACCGTCGCGAAGAATGGTGAAAGAAACTGTTGTGAAAACTGTCGACGAAAACTAACGAGCGGCATCACCGGAGCGTATTTTGAGCATGACGTCGCAGAATGTTGTCCTTCCGAGAACGAAAACTAGAATTTCCGTTATCAGAGATGTAATCCGAGATGTAATTTTAGCCGGCGAGTTTATTTGTTTGTTTACGTAAGACCCCGTGAAATATATTCATGATAATAATTTCACGCAAGGATCGATTATAGCGCGCCGGTTCGCTCCGGTTAACCGAGAATTCGTTACAGTTTTCAGCGTGAAACGAGTTTACAGTTACAATTGCTCTTTCTCTCTGACTCTAACGTCTAGCTGCGAAATTTGCAGCGCTGTTGAATTTCCGAGCACACGTCCGTGTACAAATTCTCGCTCTTACACGAAAGTCATCAAATCTTTTCAACGGAGCCGCAACGTCGTAAGAACATTCTTCGCGAAAAGTCGCACGCGAATTGAGGGACGTTAAAAGGGGAAGTTTCATACTAATACTTTCTAGACGGTTATGCCACTCTCGTAACAGCAACGAAAAAGCGACGCATGGTCGCCGCAGTGTTGCTCCACGCTCCAATCTTTTTTATTCTTGCGAGCGAAATTACGCGTACCCTGTGCACGTACATTTTGTCAGCATGTAGCGACCCTTATAACCAGGTATTACTTTCTTGCGGAATACCTCGTTTACATTAATCGTAACCATCTTTTTCCTCTTTAACAAAGAAACGAAAAAAAAGTTCTAAAGAAAGTGCTGTGTTATGAAAATATGCTGCAATCTTTCTTAAAACATGTAAAATTTATTTCTTCCGCAAAAACTGACTTGCGAATTCTTCGCTACAATGTTTACCTTATAAATTGCTAACGATCGAAATTGTAGGATGCGGATTGAGAGATGATCGAATATTGAGGCATATAACGCATAACGAACATCATTATTTCTCAACTTTATGCCCTAATTTAAAAAAGGCTTAAGATATTTTTCTTTGATCCCACTTTGATAACACTTGGGCGTTAACGCGATAATCATACTCTTATAAGTTTCAGGTATAACACGATTGTAAAATTTATTCTTTATATTTTTTTAATGAAGAAAGATATGGATGGACTTTTGATAAGGTTTTGATAAAGAAAAATATGAAAAACTTTTTAATTAAAAAAAATGGAGCTATTTTTCTGAGCTGAAATTCAGTTATGATTAAAACGGTAAGTGCCTCTTGGCAGCGGGAGGGAATCCCGCTGGCCCTTTCGTGGCTCGTCGCACGTCAAATTACCGGCCGTAAACGACCGTGCACGGATTATGATTCGCAGCCGAGAACGCATTTGCATGTGCCTGTGAATGCCCGATGCGAGCTCATTAGTCAATGTCACTTCGGTTCCTGTTACCGACCAGGAATGTTCGCGGGAATAAAAAAAAAAAGAAAGAGTCGTCGCTTGGTATTCTAATTTGGCGACGAGTCACGCATAGTTCTTCGTGACATTCCCGGTCGCCGCGAGCAAAATATGCGCATTCGTTGATACGTGAAAAAATCCGAAAAATAATAAACGTCCAACTATCTGTATTTTGTTTCTTTTCACGATCAAACGCTCTCGAATATCGTATAACCATAATTTACTACAAGATGTAACAATATCTTTCCTTCAATTGTGGAAAAATATGTCTGGCTACGAATGAGTGGAATAAATAAAAGAGCGTTTTATAAACGTAACGATATGAACAATATTTATAAAATTGACAGTGTTTTACAGTAGATTTATTGATTTTCTTAAATACAATATTATTTTTTACTTTGAAATGGTATATAACGTATTTACATATAACAATGTTAATATTATATATATTTAACGTTTAACATTTTTACGCGACTTGCAAACAAATAGACTATAAATTTGCATTTGGCTAAGTATGGCAGAGGGAAAAAAGATTTCTTTCTTTCTAATATACTTATTTGTCAAACTACATTTAAAGTAATTGGTCTGAGACATTCTGACGCAAGAACGAACGCTCCCCTCTTATTCATGTATATATGCGTACACACTGCCAAGAGAAAAAGCTTGAGGAATGATAAGCTGGCGCGATAACAGAACAAGGCTTCTTGCGAATCGAATTTTTTCATAGCGAAGGTAGATTGCCGATTTACAGAAAAGTTGGATTGCATAAAAAGTATGTTGAGTATAAATTATTTTAATGCTTCTAGTAACATTGACAAAAATGCGTACTGGTGATAGCAAAAATATGAAATACTGATTACATTTTATAGGTCACGTTTATTACATTCGTGTTTTAAATGTACATTTATTAATTGTAACGATACATATTTTAATGATACGGACAAAAATTATATGAGTCATCGTATGTGTAGGAAATGTTTCTCGGGGGAAAAAATTATAATTTGATGTTTTAAATTTGTGTAAAAAGATTTATATGCTATATGCAAAATTTATCTCTAATTTACCTTTTATTTTTAATTGTAAGAGTCATTGGCTCGCTGTTCTTTCTTTGACTTGTTACACGGAAAAAAGAATTTTGCTGTCACCGCGAAATCGTCGTTGCATATTATATGCGAGTAATATAATTTGCAGCAAGTAAAAGTAGCATTCGTAATAAGTCTCTTTACTATTTATATAATAACTAACACATGTAAAATTTTGTGCAAATTTCCAGCAAATTCTTTTTCCTGTATAAATCCATTAAGTCATCTATTGGCGTTATACAAAATTATTGTGTGTAGCACGCCATAATAGCAGAAATATTTTTCTGCTCTGGTTGCATTTGATCGGATGACAATACCTAAAATGAAATAAAATGCACTTTCCACCCCGTCCGCATCATTAGCATGCTCGTTGGCTTCTTCGTCAAGTTCTACACGCGGGGTATTGACCCGGAACAATTATCGGGCGATTTCAAAGTGTAATTGGATCCGCATGAATTATCAATGTACATCAAAGTCCCCCTGACTTGATACGAGCATAGACTGTCAGCCGCGCGCGAGCTGGAAGTGAAGCTCTGCAAATCCGTGTTCCGTGAGCTCTCACCGAATCTCGATTGATCATTGACATCGGAAATATGCTAATCAGTTCCAATACAACGAATACCCGGGATAATTATTGTTATTATTGCATAAGATCGAAATTGACAGAGGAGTGAGTATGAATATGAGATGCCTACTTCGATTTGTCAAGTTTGATGTTTGGTTTAACAATTGCCGTTTACAAATGTTTTGGATAAACTAAGGTAAATGCAAATTATTATTACAGCCTCGAAACATTTTATTTGAAATGAAAATTATTTGTGTTAAATCTCTGTCGCATATTCCATATTTTCTTTATCTTTTTCTTCAATATATATTTAAATATGGAATATTTGAAAATTATTCAGACATTATGAGAATATATAAAAATAAAATGTGATCCTCAGATTATTTAACATATATATATATATATATATATATGTAAAATTTTTAATCGTCACAAATTAGTCTCAACCCATGTTAAACATATATTTTTCCGCAAAGTAATATCCGCGAAGTAAAGACTCCTCTTTCGAGAGAAACTTATTTACAGCAGAAGCTATTAAAGAACTGTGCTGGCAGGGATAAAGTAAAGTAAACTTTAG